ATGTGTTCCAGAAGAGCCAATATCCTGGGATTCTGGAAGACTTCCTGTGACAATGAAGAAACTCAACCTATCAATGTTACTGAATACGTTTCTCAAGAGGTTGTGAGGAGGTTATTCTTCAAATCGTGTCACCTGAGGAGGCATTGCAAAGTGATCCAAAAAGCCCAATCTCTGATGAGGGGGCAAGAATCGGAGCCTTCATGAATATCTGAACATGATGTATCCATCACAATGTCATCCACATGTGTTGCTCATCCTCCTTCCATAACATTCTCAAGTCAAAGGAGTGATGGCGCCACAAAGGAGTGATGGTGAAACAAAACTAAGCAAAAAGAGCTTGAACTTCAAAGATCAAAATATCAGCAATTGAAATCTTGATGTGTCTCTTGCAACAAAGAGGCTACTCAAATCATATCCACTCCAGGACAATCAGAATGGTCTGTAGACACAATGACTTGGTAATAATAAAAGCTCAATGCTGTCAAACAGTAACAATAAATATTTGATGACCTCCTCAAGGTCAAGTGCTGTGTCAAGTGCTCCTAGGTCTTTCCCTAAGGATCAAACTTTTCTCTAGACCTTCTGCGGCCTATGTCTCAAAAACTGAAAGAAAACTTTGTAGAACTCTTTGGAACACACCAGAATATTTTCCCATTAGGAAGACTCATTTAACAAAACAATATGGGTTGTACAAGAAACAGTTGAGAGAATTTAATCTGATTTTCCTAATTCTGAGAACATTTTTTTAAATCTATCAAACCACATACATTGTTTAAATCAGATTTGGGTTCCATCCCAATAAGAGAAGTGAAGATGTTAACACAGAAAACATTCCTTCTATTTATGTTTGTAAATAGGTGCAACCATGACACAAAATCAATGAACCAGAGTAACTGCTATGCAAGATAGCTATGAAACAGTTGAGGCAAAAACTGTAATTTTTCTCTATACTTACACAAAAATAAGAAGCTTTCATATGAAGACAGTCACTAAATAAGAGATACGGTCACTTTCTTTAATCCTTTGTAACTGTTATATGTCACATTCATACTGCTACCTTTTCATTTTTTTTAATTTCTAAAGGGTTTATTCATTTGAAAGAAAGTGACAAAGAAGAAAGGTTATTCTGAGAGGGAGAAACAGAGAGAGATCTTCCATCTGCTGGTCTACTCCCCAAATGCTCTCAACAGCCAGAGCTGGGCCAGGTCAAAGACAAGACACTTAACTCCATTAGGATCTCATCCATAGGTGGCCTCAAGCACTCTGCTGTCTTCCCAGACACATTAGCGGGGACTTGGATCAGAAGTGAAGTAACCAGAATGCTAGCTGGTGTTCTGAGATGAGAAGTGGGCATCCCAAGCAGTGATTTAACCTGCTGCTCCACAATGCACATCCTCACTTCTCTGATTTTTTTTCCTTAAGATTTATCTATTTAGGACTCAGAACTCCAGAGAGAGAGAAAAAAAAAATGTCCATTCACTAGTTTAGCCAGTAATTTCATCTGTGTCTATCACACGGGTGGCAGTGGCCCCAAAGCTTTTAGGCCATCTTCCACTGCTTTTCATTCCATGGACAGGGAGGTAGGTTTGAAGTGTAACAAGTGCGAAACAAATTGGCACCCGTGTGGGATGCCAGCACCACACAGGTAGCAGCTTGATGTGCTGTATCACACCACCAGCCCAAGGTTCTAATCTTAAATGTAGTATTTTGCCATTAAAGAAAACCTGGAAAATTGAAAAGATGATAAAGATTAAAAGGAAATCACCCAGAAGCTTACAAAATTAGTGACTAGTACTTTATATATACTTCACTGAGTCGTCTTCCTTATACAAGCGCTGTTTTTGCACAATAGTTAAGAAACAATTACATACATGTTAGAAAAAAAAAAGAGACCCGTTTATTTATTTTCTAAAAGACAGAGTTACAGCAACAGGGGTTGCCACAGACAGAGGTCTTCCTTCCATTGGTTCTCTCCCCAAATGGCTGTAATGGCCAGTGCCTGGCTGGTCTGAAGCTGGGAGCCAGCAGCTTCTTGGGTGCAGAGTCACAAGGACTTGGTCCAAACTCTACTGCTTTCCCAGGCCATTAGCAGAGAGCTGGATAAGAAGTGGAGCACCAGGCCCAGCACGGTAGCCTAGTGGCTAAAGTCCTCATCCGGCATCCACCAGGATCCCATATGGGCACCTGTTCTAATCCCAGCAACCCAACTGCCCATCCAGCTCTGTGCCTGTGACTTGGGAGAGCAGTTGACGATGGCCCAAGGCCTTGGGACCCTGCACCCATGTGGGAGACCAGGAAGAAGCTCCTGGCTCCTGGCTTTGGATCGGCTAAGCTCTGGCACTGCAGCCATTTGGGGAGTAAATCAACGAATAAAGATCTTCCTCTCTGTCTCTCTTCCTTTCTGTATATCTGACTTTCCAATAAAAAATAAATAAGTCTTACAAAAAAAAAAAAAAAAGATGGAGTAGCTGGGACTCTACTCAGTGTCTATATGGATGCTGGTGCCAAGACAGAGGATTAGTGTGCTATACCACCACACCAACCCCATACACATTGTTTAAAAACTGATTTAAAAAAAAAAAAAAAACCTTTGAGCACTGTTCTCGTGCTGTAAGGATTCCTCATAAATATTGTTTTGACAAGAACAAAAATTGTATATCTGTAAGCCTCTATTACAAAATCAGCACTGGCAATATAAAACTAATGCCATCCCAGCAAAGCTCTGCAAAGATGAAAACAGTTCTGATCCCATAAAAAGCTATAAAGACATGATGTTTCTCCCCCCTCAACCTTGGTCACAAAGCCGGTGATTGAAAGGCCAATGTCAGGGCTCCCTCCACTCATTGAGATACTGTGACAAGGTAGACAGCCTCGACACAAATGGCAAAGATGCCCAGGGCTTCTCTTTCCGCAGCCCACTATAGCCTGTCATTTCCCATCACTCCAAGAAAACTGAAGGGCAACTGGCCAGAGGTCTATGGGAAAGGCAGAAATGTTCCTACATTTCCTACAACTTCCTAGTGGCTTCTCACACGTCACAGCGTGGGTCAGGAGCATGCCCTCTCCCAGTCCCACCAGGCCATAAAGTGGCAAGGGTAGCATTTGTATTACGTTCTACATAAAGCTCTCCCCTGGAATGGCATGGCTCTCCTGAACACTCTCTGTCTTCATATTCTTTTGAAAGATTTATTTATTTTTATTGGAAGTGCAGATCCACAGAGGAGAGGAGAAACAGAGAAAAAGATCTTCCAACCACTAGGTCTTCCAACCACCTGACTGTTCTCCCAGGCCACAGGCAGGGAGCTGGATGGGAAATAGGGCAGCTGGGATACAAACCAGCACCCATATGGGATCCTGGCACATACAAGGCAAGGACTTAAGCCACTAGGCTGCCATGCTGGGCCCTGTCCTCACATTTATGCCAGAGCAAAACAGACAATAGCGGGACAGAGCACTCTCTGGCTATCCATAAACTTGTGCCAATTCTGCCTCAAAGGCAACACTAGAGCCTCCCCTGGCTTTGTCCCTGAGGATCCTCTTGTTGACTAGCGTTTGAACATGCAGCTGGGGCTGTAATGTAGTGCATTAAGCCACTGCTAGTATCCTACGGTGTGCTGATTTACATCTCAGCTGCTCTGCTTTCCATTCTCTCCCTGTAATGCACCTGAGAAAGCAGTGAAAGAGGGACCATGTGCCTGGGCCCCCGCACTCCCATGGGAGACTGTGAAACTCCTGGCTCCTGCCTACAGCCTGGTCCAGCCAAGGCTATTGTGATCACTTGGGGAGTGAACCAGTAGATGGAAGATCTCTCTCTTTCTCTCTAACTTTGCCTTTCAAATAATAGATAAATCTTTAAAAATGAATTTGAACATATTTTCCTTATAGAATGGATTTATAGGGCCCGGCGCGGTGGCACAAGTGGTTAAAGGTCCTCGCCTTGCACGCCCGGGATCCCATATGGGCGCCGGTTCTAATCCCGGCAGCCCCGCTTCCCTTCCAGCTCCCTGCCTGTGGCCCGGGAAAGCAGTCGAGGACGGCCCAAAGCTTTGGGAACCTGCACCCGCGTGGGAGACCCGGAAGAGGCTCCTGGCTTCGGATCGGCATAGTATCGGCCCGTTGCGCTCACTTGGGGAGTGAATCATCGGACGGAAGATCTTCCTCTCTGTCTCTCCTCTCTGTATATCTGCCTTTCCAATGAAAAAATAATAAAAATAAATCTTTAAAAAAGAATGGATTTATAAAAGGGCCCCCAAGTTATAGATACACTGAGTCTGCTTAAGGCAAACCCTGAAGCAGCACAACAAAGCAGCTGCTGGCCTCCACCATCAGACTAGCTCTTAGAAACCACAGCTGCCTACTGGACCAGTACCCCAAAAACCCCGCTTAGTGGCCCAAGCCACAAGGAAGGCCTTAATGTGGAAGATGGAGTAGAAACATTAAAAACGTTCTTCATTAATCCAACTATCACACTGAGAACAGGCACAAACAAAAACATCGGAAGGCAGTGACACACCAAAACCAACTACGCACAATAAAACCAGACCAAGGTCAAGTCCCAATTAGATGGACTCAGCACTCACTCTCCTCCCTTCTTTACACAATAAATCATTATTTCAAAATTTAAAAGATGATATGTACAAACAAATCGAGAGAAGACAATTTACTACCAAAAGACAAAGTAACCAATCAATTCAAACTCAGAGCTGAAGCAGCAATTAAAACTATCAGAGAGGAAATTTAAGATAACTAAAAGCTTCCTTATTGTGGCCTGGGAAAGCAGTTGAGGACGGCCCAAAGCTTTGGGACCCTGTGCCCACGTGGGAGACCCAGAAGACGTTCCCAGCTCCTGACTTCAGATCAGCTCAGCTCCGGCTTTTGCAGTCATACAGAGAGTGAGCCAACAGATGGAAGATCTTTCTTTCTATCTTTTCTTCTCTCCGTAAATCTGCCTCCCCAATAAAACTAAATAAAAGCTTTAAATAAAAAGATAAATAAGATCTGTGTCCACTTTGGCAGCACATGTACTAAAACTGGAACAAAACAGAAATTAACATGGTCCCAGCACAAAGACGGCATGAAAATGTGTGAAGCATTCCATATTAGAGAGAGAGAGAGAGAGAAAGAGAAAGAGAGAGAGAGAAAGAAGGAAGGAGAAAAGAAAGGAAGACAGAAAAGGAAGAAAGAAAGAAAAAGAAGAGAACTAAGATTTGTAAAGCTCTATTGGAAAGGTGAGTGTTCAAAAAGTAGAAATTTTCAATACAAACACTGTAAAGGAACTAGTCATTGACACGCTGTAAGAAAGGCTTAAATACTGCCTTCAGCTTACTGATCAATACTCTCGATAAGGTAAGGGCAGTTTCAATGGACCTGAAAAATAGATCAGGGGCCAGTGCGATGACTCTCTTGGCTAATCCTCTACCTGCAAGCACCCACATCCCATATGGGTGTTGGTTCATTTCCCAGCTGCTTCACTTCCCTTCCAACTCCCTGCTAACTGTGTGGGAAAGCAGCCGAGGATGATCCAAAATCTTGGGACCCTGCACCCACATGCAGATCTAGAAGTTCCTGACTGCTGGCTTTCGATCAGCTCAGCTCTGGCCACTTTAGCCACTTGGGGAGTGAACCTGAAGATGGAAAATCTCTCTCTCATTCCTTCTCTTTTGTTAATCAAAATAAATAAATAAATAGTAAAAAAGAAAAACAGATCCATAGAAATATCCCAGTTGAAATGCAAAGGGGGAAAAAAAAGGAAGAAATAAAATAGACTATACAAGCAGCTACTTGTCAGCAACTAACAGACAAGGGACAGCACAGAGGCCTGCCCTCTGTGCTAAGGTGGGATGCCCTCTGCAATTACCGATGCTCTCCATTCCTAAAGTGGCTCATCTCCGACTCTGCATCCCGGCCTGACCCTTCGCATGCCCATTCCTGCTCCCTTTCCCTGGAGTAGGTTCACTTCAACATTCCTATTCTCAGTGTCTATTCTGAGGAACTCAAGGCACTCAACACTTTCCTGAGGGTTTCTTTTTTATATCAAGAATGTGTATTTCTTATTTTAAAAGAATTCTGATCTTAATTCATACAACAGGATGACCAGCAGAATTCTTGGAATAAATGCAATTTAGTCATTTGTTTCAATTTTGCTGGTTTATCGATTTCACACATTTTAGGAGGGGTCCCAAATACATTTTATCTTCTACAACCGTAACTGGCACATTTCCCATCTCACGAGTTTACACTATGTTGGGAGAGCAGGCCTGTCCTAGGCCTGGGTGGAATGAGAAGGTCTGCTAGTACCCATTCAGCTCTGGCTTCCAGAACCAGCTTTTTGGCAGCAGGCACCTTGCACAGTGCTTCAGTTACCACTTGAGACAACCATGTACCATTTCAGGATGCCTGACTTCAGTCCTGGCTCCTCTGCAGCCAGGTCAGCTTCCTGCTGATATGTCTCCTGTGCTGTGTATGACAGTATGCAACAGTGGTCCAAGTACTTGGGTCCCTGCAGTCTACACAGGAGTCCCCCATGAAGTTCTTAGGCTCTGGACTTGGACTGGCTCAGCTCTGCTCACTACAAGTGGGGAGCAAAACAGTGGATAGACTCTTTCACACCTCTCTCCTGCTCTGTGTTTGTGTGTTCCTCTGGCTTTCAAATAAAACTATGTAAAAGCTAGTTATTTTTAAAAATTAAATCCTCATGTAGACATTTCTGAAGTTTAAAACACATGGAAGCAAGGGAAGGCACTAGAGCCGCAGCCACCAAAACCTTCAGTTTGCCGCAGCCACCGCCCAGCCTCCCCACGCCATAGCATCGGAGGCGAAGACCTTCCAGTAGCACCACATTTATTTTCAAGTAAAGAGTGGAACTTGGCCAGCTCCTCCAAGAGCAGCATCCTACCAAGGCCTCGGTGACAACAGAATAGTAAAACGGGGAGAAGCAGCATCCTACGCCAGATAAAACCAAATTCCTTGTGCCCGATCATGTGAATACAAGTGAACCCATTGAAATCATTGGGAGGCATTTACAGCTCAACACCAACTGGGTCTTCTTCAACCGGGTGTACGGGCAGAGCAGGGTGAGCACCTCCACACCCATCTCAGATATATGAGAGCGACAAGGACGAAGACTGTTCCTTTACCTGGTGTATGCCTCCCAGAGACACTCACAAGGCAGCCATCAGTGTGAGACTACACAGCTCACCTCTTCTCACATTTTTAAAAGTCCTTCCCAAGGAGAAAAATGGATGTTCCAGCTGAACGCAAAGCACTCAGCGAATCACAGGTCACAAAACAGCAGTGTCCGCCTAGGCATGTTAGCAAGTTGCCTTTGTATTTCAAGCAGGAAAACAGCTCCAACCAAGTACATTCAGCTTTGGGAAACTGTTTTTTAACCTAGGCTATCTTGTTTTCAAATTTCAAGAGTTTAGTGGCAAAACACCTTGCATTCTAAGTTGCCCCTCCAAAAAAAAAAAAAAAAACCATAATCAATCTCAAAAGATATGAGAGTAAGGAGCATGAAAGAAGCTAATACACTGGTCAATAACTATTCACACATTTAAAATATTTTATAACTATTATAGAACACCTTCCTTTTTGATCATTTTAACAAAACTAACTTACTACACCGCTGTGCCAGCCCCTCTCTGTGAAGAATTAAGGATCTGAAGAATTAGAGCAACTATTTCTGCAACTCACCCAGAGATTATCTCCAAATTCTTCTGATTCTTCAACTAATTTTTAATTATTATTATTTTTTTTTAGAGACAGAGTGGGATAGAGACAGACAGACAGCTAGGTACAGAGACAGAGAGAGCTCATTTGACTCTCCAAATGCCCATAGCAGCTCTGACTACACTGAGCCAGGAGCCAAGGGCCAGGGATGCCTCAGTTGGATCTCCCACATGGGTGGTAGGAGGCCAGGGGGTGGAGGCATCAGGGCTGCCTTCCAGGGAACATGCAGGTGGGAGGTTTGCATCCAGAGCCAGAGCCATAAGCAGAAGTCAGGGGCTTGGAGGTGGCATACTGGTGTCTGCACTGCTAGCCTAAATGCCCATTCCTTGAGAACACTACTGTTTCACCAATGCGTTAGTGAAGAGTTCATGTCGGCCCCGAAAGCAAGCACTGCTGAAAGAGAAATCCTGAACAGCTCTGCATTCATGAGCTTCTCTGGCTTTCCCTCTGTTGTCTTTCCACTTACTTACGGAGCCCGGTGTTCATCGGACACCCCAAACCTGAAAATCAGGAGGCACCAAGGACTTGTGTAACAGCTAGTGAGTTGGGAAATAAACAACTGCTGATGGGCTGACACCTGCTGACTTGCAACTTGCTTCTGGAGAGCTAGCTCACAGCTTAACTTAATCATTCCATCAAGTGAGGAGTTGTGGCCTTTGTCAGATCAAGCCACTATCCTCAGAGGAAACCAGCCTCTTCTTCAGCTCCCAGACAGCCTGTTTGTTCCCACCCTTCATAAATATGTCTCCCTGAACAACTTTATTGGTGATGCAATTAATGTTGATTCACCATCTGTTGTTTCTACTTCTTCCCACGACCCCTGAATTTGATCCAGTTTAAGAGGAAGTAAGTAATGCAAAATGGCCACTAACCTTTGCATTCCTGGCTCTGACCTTTCACCCTGATCCTAAGAATTTGGGGGGCATATAACAGCATATCAAGTTACAATAATTCATTTTACCTCATACACTGGACTTTTAGAACCAGAGAGAACCTCAATCAACAATTTCATTTTAACAAAATTTTGTTCCAGAATAAATGCCTCAGCTTACCTAGTTCTAGCCACAGAACCAAAACGCAACATCAAGCCTGGGCCTTCTAATGAACACCTCCAGGGTCCCACCCTGTATGTGTGAATCAATTCTGGGAACTGAGATTGCAGGTTTCTACCAAGCATTATAAGAATGTTCCCGACTCCCTGAAAATGACTGATAGTTCAGCAAGCAAGGTTTCATTTCCTGTTTTCCCTAATATTGAAGCCTCTGGGGGAATTTTCTGCCACATCCCAAGGAAGGAGGAGTTCAGGGTCCAGCTTGGACAGTCCTGGCCTTCCTGACCTAGGAATCCTCTTACCTGACATGAATTAAGTGTCCTTATTGGTATAGGTCTCATACACTTGACCCTAACCTCCCACCCTTTCCTCCAGTGATGAATTCACAAAGCAAGGAGAGAAAGACCAATGACTTCTGGAGTCTGGGAGAAGGGCTTGCTCAGAATGGCTTTCCTTCCAGTAAAAAATTCTTTTCCTTCTCACTACATAAATAGATCTTTGAAAAGTTGAACTTTGAATTGCAACCCAATACCTGAAATTCCATTCATTCCAGAGATAAGGCTTTCAGGGCAAATCCCCAAGAACAAGCCTTCACTGAGGGATAGATGACTGGCACAGGCCCGCTCTTACAGCTGACCTTGGAAAAGCAGAGGGGGCAAGGCAAGGCCAAAGGTCCCGAAGGGAGAGTGGACGGGGGGGAAAAAGCAAGCCTTGAGGCACTGGAGAGAATCTCGGCCCATTTCACCATCGCCCTGGACCATGCCAGGGTTAACTGTGTCTGGAACTGCTCCTCACTTCTTTGTTTAAAAAGAAAGAAAGAAAAAAAAAGCTCCTTTGCCTAGAAAACCAACTGCTACAGGTTTTCAAGTGAACAGGGATGTTTTTAGGTGACATTCTTCCAGGCAAAAATGAATGGGAAAAAAGTTCCTACAGTACAGGCACACTGGCAAAAGATCTTAAACCATGGAACACACTTGTGCTAGTGGTCACTGTATTACCTAGTCCAGAGAGCGATGTGGACATGCCCTTTCTGCTGGGAAACTCTAAGTGGAAAAGGAACCATAGACTTACAGGAACCAGGAAAATTGGCTTCCTAAGCACCCTGCCAGGTGTTGTATTAGGAATCATAAAAAAGAAAAACACCAAACAATAAAAAAAAAAGAGGTACAAATCAGGACTCGGGCAAAATGAATTTCCATGTTGCTATGATTGTTTCCAGAAACAGAAAAGGAAGGGATGATGCTGAAGAGGTGTAAAATGCAGTCCCCTTTTATTTTCTGGAGAAAAGGGCAGAGGGAAAGAAGGAAAAAAAAAATGGCAAAATA